TTTTCCCCCCAAAGCCCCAGTAAATAGTTGTATGTCATAGTTGCACATCCTTCCAGTTGCTGTATGTGGGACGTGGCCATGTGGCCGGAGAAGCAGTGCGTCAGTGGGCGCCCAGGATCCGAGCCCGGGTCGCCAGCATCAGAGAGCGCGCACTTAACCGCTAAGCCACGGGGCCAGCCCTCTGCTTGGTTTATAAAGAGAGGATGCCTGTTCAAGCCGGTTTCTTTTTCCTGTTAGCTTTTTGAGTTTATTATTATTAGTATTACTCATGTTGGCATTTCTGATTTGAGGTCAGAATTAAGAGTCAGGATGAACCTGGGGTAGAGGATCAGAACTCAGGGGAGAAGGCTCAGCCGTGTGAGTGGACCAAGACAGTCAGAATTCAGAAGCCAAATATGGCTGCGTGGTCAGAGATCAGACATGGGGAGGGAAGAGTTATGTGAGAAAACTGGGCTGGATCATCTGATATCAGAATTTGTGGGTCAGAGGTTAATATTCAGGGACTGAGTTCTCAGACCTGGGGAGCCGAGGTCCTGCAAGAGAGAGGTCAGAGGTCATATTTGAGGGTGAGAGGTCAGGTAGACGGTCCAAGGTCAGACATAGAGTCAGAGATTGTGAAGGTGAAAGAAGAGGGACTTGGAGTCAAAAGCCAAACAAGAGTCAGAGGTCATCCCAGGGGTTAGAGGCCAGAAGGGCAGAGGAAGAAGTCAGAGGTGGAAGGTCAGCAGGATTGATGCTAGGAGATTTCAGAGGTCAGAGGTCAGATACAGGGGTCAAAAGTCAAGGAGATGGCAGACATCAGACTTAAGTTTCAGGTCAGGCGGGGTCAGAAGTGGTAAAGATGGAGGAGGTCAGATGTGAAAGGTTAAAGGTCTTGATAATGGTCAAGGTCAGGTTCAGAGGTCAGGTCGAGCCTTCCCCCCTCCTCTCCCTCTCTCCCCCAGGCCGGCAGACCCCCCTGAGAAGACGCCCTCGGAGGTGCTGAAGCAGCCCGGCCACCGGGGCTGCTGCGGGGGGTGCCCCCCGCGCCTGCGCCGCTGGCCCCAGTTCTGGAGGGCGCCGGTGACGGCCTTCATGGGCAACGTGGTGAGCTACCTGTTCTTCCTGCTGCTCTTCGCCCGCGTGCTGCTCATCGACTTCCACCCCGAGCCGCCCGGGCTCCTGGAGCTGCTGCTCTACTTCTGGGCCTTCACCCTGCTCTGCGAGGAGTTCCGGCAGAGCCTGGGCAGCGGCTGGGGCGGCCCGGCCACGGGGGGCTCCGGGCCGGGCCCCCGGCGCGCGCTGCTGCGCCGCCGGCTGCAGCTGTACCTCTCGGACGCCTGGAACCAGTGCGACCTGCTGGCCCTTACCTGCTTCCTGCTGGGCGTGGGCTGCCGGTGAGTGACCGCCAGCGATTTTATATGCAGGGCGCTTAAACTAGCTTCAGTCATTTTCATTTTCAGTTTCTGAAATTATTTCCATTTGGTTAGTTATTAAGTTTTATGACAAATATTTGGTTCATCGTTCGTGTTTGTGTCTGTATCGAATTTTGCCAAAATCTGGGGTCTGTGCTTGTGAATTTTACTTTGTGGCTTTTGTTTCTTTCATGTCTAGCTTTCTTGGGTCAAATGTCGTAGATTCAGATTTCATCAGAGAGGCTTGAATGTTCTGTCAGCTTTTTAGTCCATAAAAACCATGACCGTTTCTGCTTATTTCTTAGCTAATTTATAAAAACAAATATTGAGGAATTACCCTCAAATATTTTCTGTTGCCCAGACTGGGCTGTATAATGTTAGTTCATTTCTTCCATAGTTTCCAGATTATACTGTGTGGTGCCGAGAGAGAGGGCAAAGGGCAAGTTAAAACATCTTTGGGTATAAAACTGTCTTGTCTTTGGGTCTTGGCACATGCTGTTCCCTTTCCTGAAACACTGTTCCCTCCTCTCCTTGGCCAAGCCAACTCCTGACTTCTTTTAGGCCTCAGCTTTGCTGTCTCTGTCTCTGCAAGCCTTCCTTTATCCTTCTCAGACTCTGGGTCCTTCCTTTGTGTCCCCTAATGTCCTTAGATCACCCCAGATGGTGCTCTGAGGATGGCTTATGCTCTCTCTCTCCTCATACAAGATTATAAACTCCTCAAGCTGCATCTATCCCATCTCCCATAACTTAAAACATCTTTGAAATACAGTCTATTACCAAAGAAATGCAGAAATATGTCCTCATTGAACAAGCTTAAACAAATGAAGAAGGACATAGAACAGAAACCAATGATTTTCCTCAATCATTTCAAGCATCCTCCCTTTCTCAGCAGTTACCTCCATCAACAGTTTGGTGCACATCCTGCCTGTTCTTTCTCTATGCATTTACATGGACAGATACACATACTTCTTTTATACACAAATAACATTATATTTTATGTATTCTTCTGCAACTTCTTAGTTTTCTCTACAATATGTCCTGACATTCTTTCCACATCGGTATTTGCAAATATACCTTATTCTTTGAAGATGCTGCATCGGAATCCAGAAGAAGGGGTTTTAGCTGTCATTGGCTAAAGATCAGAATTTAATGAATGAATGCTTTTCATAAGGCAGCAAGACAAAAATTCTGAACTTCAAGAGATAGAAATGAGGCCAAAAGTTTTCCACAAAGTCTCTTTCACTTTCTACTCAAGATAACAGGAAGATATAATCAGATATTAGCTGCTCTGGGTCCAGTATTCTGCGGGTAAAGTTTCTTTTTCTTTGTAGAGTCCTAGCAGTGAGGACACTGCTCCTTTTGAGGCGAGCAAAGAGCTCTGTGGACACAACCTAGTGACTATTTACAAGGGATGAAGGGACTTGACACCCCCTTTTATAAGCTGGATGGTCGACAGCAATGACCTCCCCCCCCCCGCCTTTTCTCAGTGGACACACTGAGAGGCCTGCTTCCTCTATACCCTTAGAAATGCTACAAAGTAATCCGACATGAATAATTTCTTCAAACAGCAAGATAAGAGAGTTTTGCAGAACACTGCTTCTGTTTATCCTTGTATTTTGTATAAAGTATCTTTTGAGATGAAAAGGCCAAGGCCATATACTACCATGCTCTAGGAGTACGCGTGATATATGAGACACTTTGTCAAGCTCACTGTTTTCTAGATGAAGGAATAATTATTGCACAGGAAAAAATCCAAAGATCTTGGCTCACAAGGGAGAAGTTTCCAATGATCTCCAGAACTGAATGGATGACTCATTTTACCTGCTAACCCCTTCTGGATGGACGTTTCAATTGTTTATAATTTTTTATTATTCCAAAGCAATAAAATTTTACATCCCAGTTGTAAACTTTGTGGGTCAAAGGGTACATATATTCTCCATGTGGATAGATTTCCTTGTAAAATAGCTTCATCCGTTTACAGGCCCACCATCAGGGTAAGACAGTGCCCCCTTGAGGACATGCTTGACAATACTTTCAATCTAAAATTTTGTAGCTATTTAACCTTTACCCTTTTTGGCAATTGGTTGGGTAAAAATGACCTCTCCTTGTTTTAATTTATGCATCCCCGACTACTAGTTAAATTGAGCATCTTTCATACCTAATAGCTACGTGTACTTATGTCAATTGTCTTTTTATATCCTTCGCCCCAGTTTTTTAAAATTTTATTTTATTGTGTGGATTGATCTCTTCATTGATCTCTTTATATATATAAACTGGTAAGGGCTCTCCTTACTCTCAAGATCCTGATCCTTGGTGGTTTTGTTGAAAATATCTTCTCACAATCTGCTGGTTGTCTTTTCACTTTTGTATGTTATCTTAAACATTCTTTTATTCTTTGACTTTTCAGTTTGAAATAACCCGAGACACATAAAAAATGTTGCAAAAACAGTACAAAGAATTCCCAAACACCTTTCACCGAGATCCCCTAAATGTTAACATCTTACATGATCAAATCCAGGAAATCTTATTCAAATTTCACCAATTGTCCCACTGATGTCTTTTTTCTGGTTCAGGAGCCAGTCCAGGATTCCATGTTGCCTTTAGTTGTCATGTCTCCTTAGTCTTCTCTAATCTGGAACAGTTCTTCAGTCTTTCTCTGGCTTTTATGTCCATAACACTTTTGAACAGTCCAGGCCAGTTATTTTACAGAATTTGCCTCGATTTGGGTTTGTCTGGTGTTCCCTCAAATTGAGGCTATGCATTTTTGGCAGAAATTTTGGCCTTTCTCAGTCCATCATATTTATGTTATTTTTTGATTCACAGAAGTTTGATATTTCAAAGTAGTCAAATTATTCACTCTTTTCCTTTATTGTGATTTTGTGTCTTGTATATAAGATTTTTTTCTTATATGGCATCTTATCCTATCTCAAGCTCATGAAGAAATTCTTCTATATTTTGTTCCTAAGATTTTAGTATTTTGCGTTTCACTCTGAGTTTTTAATCCATCCAAAGTTTAAGTACATGATGATGCAAAATAGGGATATAAGTTTTATTTTCCCTATAGGGATTGCTGACGTTATTGGCCATTTGACCTTACTCTGTGAATTCTGTGTTATTCTTTATCCGCTTTCCTGTTAGGTCGTTTGTCTTCTGCTTATTGGTTTGCTGGAACTCTCTACATTTTGCCTTTTGTAGGTTGGACAAATATTCCAGCAGTTTTTCCAACTTGATTGTTACAGGGACCTCCCAGCTTTTTGCTAAGGCCGTCGTTCACGCAGCCACTATTTAACGGGTGCCAGCGCCCTGCGCAGCCCAGCTTGGCCCTATGAAATCTGAGTAAACCCCGGGTGAATCGGAGGCTCCCGGTTCCGGCCCCGGGGAGGCCACAGCCTCACCTCAAGGCTGGGCTTGGGAAGCCTCGGGTTTTCCTTTGCACCCTGTGACCCTTGAGTGACCCCTGCTGCATCTCTCCACACCCCAGGTTGACCCCAGGCCTGTATGACCTGGCCCGCACTGTCCTCTGCCTCGACTACATGGTCTTCAC